TTAGGAATATTACAACAATAAGGATATATTAGAAACATTTAAAAGTTTAACATCTTCAATTGTAAAAATTTATACATTCTTGGCTTCATTGTCAATTTATCATGTAAATTTTTTACATTTTTTAAATTATTTTATTTCTTTGCCATCTAACAGAATTCTTTTAGATTTGGTTGGAATCTGATTTCAAAACATACAAAAGTAATTCTTAGTTGTATTAAGCTGATCTTTGAAAACCGTCTTTGTGATAAAAAAGATTAGATAATGCTTTGGTTGCTCCAGTAAGTTATCCAAAAAGATATCTTTATTATTACATGAATATTTAAAATATATAACCTTTTTTTAATTTACAATGTTACTTAGATAATCCTGAAATAACTCCTGATCTGGATCCAATAATGTATATTATGGTTATATTGTTGATGCAATTAATTTTTTTTTAACTATGGGAACTACGTCTAATAGGCTATCCGTGCTTTATACAGTTTGTCATATTCTATTTTCATTATAAAACACTTTGGTTCTATTTACTTATATTTTATTTGAAATTAGATTTGGTAGAAAGAAAGTAACAATATTGGCAAGAATTATATCAGGAGGCTCTGAAAATTAATAATCAGTGTAATGGAAATAAGCTTAGATAGTTTTGTTAAAGAATCTTAAAGATTTTCTAATGCCATAGTCGGTTTTCTACACAAATATACTTCTAAATCTTATTATACGTTTGCGAATGGATATCAAGTTCCAAAGGTAATCTTTTTTTTTTCTTAATTGTTACTCTCTTAATTTTTAAGCCATAACAATTCTCATGCCTTTTTCCTTAAAACCATAGATCACATAGTCAATTTAAACTTCAGAGAAGTGAATAATGAAGAAGAACTTCAAGGACAAAATCCCACAGAATTTAATGCATACCGTCATAATTCTCCTGTGACAAAACTCGAACATAATTTTTTGACATTTGGCGGTGGAAAACATGCATGTCCAGGTAGATTCTTAGCTGTCAATGAGATTAAATAAAGTTATATTAAAATATGACATTAGAGCTGATACTGAGATTGGACTTAAAAGAAAATAATTTAGGCCTATGTCTGCGTCGTTAACAGTTAGTTTATTATTTGAGAATAGAAATGAAAAATAGACAAATAAATTTTAATATTTTCTTTTATGCTGGTTAAATATTCAAATTAATTATAAATTTTAAATATATTTATACTATAATTAATTTAACTTATCTATAATTATGTGGATTTGTTTCATTTTTCTATTTATTGTGCTATTCAAATTACTGACTTATTACAAAAAAAAATCCAATATTATGTATGAATCTAATTAATTTATTTAAAAGGTAAAGTTCTCAAGATTCACCAGTATATTTCAACTTTCATAGTATTATCTCTCAAGTACCAAAAGATAGTTAGTTTAGCAAAAATTTTCTTTTTTTTCGTTAGTAGGAATTTGATATTTTTACTTAATGATCTGCAATTCGACTAATTTGGATTAAATACAGTTATCCTTATCTGTTGATTTTAATTAGATAGATTTGTAATATATTTCGGATTAAGAATGAGGATTATTCGGATCATAATCCTACTAGATTTACACATGCTATAACTGTTATGATTCTGATTGGTTGATGCTGATAGGCAGAAAATGGGATTTAATATAAATGACCATACTACGTATCACTATAAATCACTTTCTGTAACTTAAAATTTTTTATTAAAAAAAATAAAAATTCTATATCTTCAATGTGTCTATCTTTGGCGCAGTTGTTTTATACAGTATTTGTTCTGCATTATACATCAGATTGAAATGAATATCATGAATATAATAACGAAGACAACCAGACAAAACAATAAAACATTATACTATTCCATTCTTTACAATAACATATGCTATTTTCAATTTAACAATTATAGAGATTCGTTTAGTTCTCACACGGAAAGTCTATCACAAAAAGAAAAATCAATTAAACAGTACAGAATTTTTAAATAATAAATATTGTATATACTGCATTAGCGCATGTTTCTATTTTCATCGTTGAGTTAAAGATTAATATAAAAATTATTCTAAGTACATATTGAATAATTAATATTGCACATGTGAATTATGTGAATTGGATATATTATTAAAGACTAATACACGTATTAGCGATGGGCATATCGGCAAAAAATATATCCACAATCAAATAATAAGAACGGAGTACAAAGTATGGTTTACAGGCGAGTGGAGATTTCTATATTTGTATATTATGAGGCTTTTTATCTATTAACACAAAGGATTATTCTAGACTATATACCTTTGTCTGGTCATTGATTTAAAAAATAAAAACTTGCTATTTATTATTGTGGCTTTTAACCAGTGATACATATGTTGAGAAAGTCGGGACTGCTAACTCTAAACTAAACTATCAAACTAAACTACCAACTAATCCACTCTTGGGTTTCAAAACACCTAAAATCTTGAGGTAGAAGGCGGAAAGAGGGCGTGGAAAGACTTTGTCCGAGGTTCAAGATCTTTTGGGTCTTGTGGTTATGTTGCCGGGCCTTAGATAAGTCTTCTTCTTATCCTAACTTGTAGTATGCATTTGTTTATCTATTATTATAACACTAATACTTCTTACCTGGGCAATTGATTTACATCAGCCAATCAAACGAATTTCTGTCTATGAGTTCTAGTTTTAGTTTAGTGTTAGTTTACTCCGGAAAGTATAGTCATCATTCACTTTTACAGTGTCCTGAATTAACACGCATCCTAATATAGCACATAATTTACTGTTGCGATATACAGTTGATACTTCATGTGCATACACTCTATAAATGCACTTCTAGCTTATACTTATGGCCTAATATATTGATAAAAACATTTGTTAATATGCATATTTAAATTTTTTTATAACAAATATAATGTAGCTTATATTTGTACGCTAAAATTTAATAAAATAAAATAAAAAGTTGTAATAGAATAATTTAAAATGAATACATAAAAGTTTAAAAATAAATATAATAAATTTATCCTAAAATGAATAATTTAAAAATCATTAATAGGTTAGAAATAAATATAACACTAGTAATTCGTACAAATTATAAAGCTATATCATTTCAGAAGCAAATGTACCAAAGCTTATAATTTAATAAATAACTATACATTATAATGTTATAGATAACATAATTTAAAATCAAATAAAATTTAAACCCAATTTATAATTAAGCTTATACTTATTTGCTAATCTGCAGGAACATTTGTCAAAATATTTGTTAGGTACATATTTTAAGAAATTACCAATTATTTTAAAAATTATATAATAAAGCTTATACTTATATTAATAACAATTTGAAAGCAATTAGACTAAATCTATGCTTACCATCTAATAATTCAATAAAAAGACATTATAAATGAAAAGCAATTAATTTCATTTATAAAAATAAATTATTATAAGATTAACTACCTTTTCTGTAAGAAAACAGTCAAGAAAAGTGTGAAGTAAGCATTAAAATATAAAATAACAATAATAAGAAGTAAAATGAAGTAATTTAATTTCATTGTTACAATTAATATTTTAGCTAAATAATAATTTAACATACACTTCCCTATAATGATAAGTGTACATAATTTATGTAATTATTTAATATTATATTAGATTATTCTCCATAATTAATATTTTATAAATGCACCTTTACCAAACAACATGTATTTATTAAAGGTCAACTATATTTAATTTAGAAAAGCTTCTCTTACTTTGAAATAATGCACATGGGTGTATTTGAAATAACACACAGGTCAATTAATTAGCATGCAGGTAGGTGATAATTTGTGCTTATATGTAGATATTTTACACCCTCTTACCATATCATCTGGCTATCTATCTATCTAGATTTTCTATAATTTTCAAATATTTATTTTAAAAACAATTAGGTGTATGGATTGGTCATCGTGATAGAACCAACAAATGCTGTAAAATATTTGAATTTATGACCTGATCTTTTATAAATTAATGCAGATAATATTTATTTCACAGCTATAAAAACACATATTTTTAACATTAGAATAAATTGATGAGTTGAATAAATTAAGAATGTAAGTTGCATCTTATTTTTTACATGAAAAAAAAGATTGGCTAGATAAACTTACAGTATAAGGTACATTAAAATATACTTACAAAATCATATGTATGATTCTCAAAATACATGCATATACTATTAGTAAGTCTTTGAAGCTTTTCTTGCAGTATAACTTCCCTCTCCAATTCATTATTTTTATCTCTTTGAATATTTAGTTTTTCATGCTTAATTCTTAAAATTTCTTTATGATCATTAATTAACATATCAGAAGGTTCACATAAAATTGCCATGTTATTTTTAACAAGTTGAGTCTTTTTGGAAGACTTTAACTAGTTGAAGAAAAAAAAATTGTAACAAATTAATTATTTATAAAATTTTAACTATAATATATATAATACATACTGTAATAAACAGAAAATACCACACTTAAAAGTGGTGTGGATTTGGCCGGGTAAGTATTTATTAACTAAGTGAGATATATCTGATTTGACTTTTACTTTAGAGTAAATGCTGCATATATATACGATTTAACTATATGCTAAATATGCTAATTATGCTATATATGCTAATTATGCTAAATCTATTTGATCTTCTAAATCTACTAAATCTCCTAAATATTCCAAATCCCCTAAATCTCCTAAATCTACTATGCCAAACCTAAACAAACATGCAATAGATCACTCAATTCGGTTATATTATACCGGCAATTGATTTGCAATCATGATATTTTCCTCAACCTAATTTGTTTATTTCACAAACTAAATCGAATTTTCCAGGGCCATTTGTCCGGGAACTTAATTGTTTATCTCTTTCAAAACCAACTCCAATTTGATGGTAGAGTCCAGGTTCATGTCGTCCATTCAAATTTTCATCTCTAAACAAGACAGCAAATTGAAAATCGATGTTGAGTCTTTTTTTGAAAAGGATCGTCAAATCGTCAAATCAAAGAGGTCTTTTTTTTTTAAAAAAGTTTTTTTTTTCTTTTTTTTCCTAGGCTAAATTTTATTTTTTTCTTTCTCTTTCTTTTTAACCCACATTTTTTGAAATTTTAC